TGAGACTCCTAGGGCATTGTTTGGGCCTCTTATTGGGCCCAACACAGTCCTTACATGGGCCTAGCTGGCCCCTAATTGGGTTGGCTCAAACCTAAGCCCAATTACGTGCTAACTATGAAATCATAAGACATTTGCTAAGCTAAACAAGTCCCTATGTCTATTCTTCCGGCGAGCTTCCAGCGATCTTCCAACGAACTTCCGATGATCTCTTAGTAATGTTCTAGCAGACTCCCAATAAGCTCCTAGACTTCATGACGATCTTCTTGGCGAGTTCCGACAAGCTTCTCTGGCAAGCTCCGAGACTTTTCAACTAGTTCCTCCAAAACTTTCGATGAACATCCGGACTTCCGACAAACTCTCGAACTCCCAAGTGATCTCGATCTTGACTCCGGGACTTCATTTTACTTCATGCCTTGCTATCATAGTTAATTTTGTATATGTAAAAACATACTTCGATCTAGACAATTAATTCTAAGCATTAATCAAGTTGTTCGGCATGTCATTGGTCCCTTGATGCTTCGTTCGATTCTTCTACGCTTCGTCCTCTCTTGTGGCATATTGCTCAATCGGCCAGTTGACTCCGCAACTCTGATATCCTTAGCGCAATATCTACTTTTCTTAGCCCGATGCCCGAATCCATAGCCCGAAGCCTTCTGTCAATACGTTGACCGATCCTTCGATTCGACGTCCAATATTCTGACATGTTATCCTCTGGCACAACATGATTTTTCCTGCTTTAATTGTCTCATCCTGATCGAAGCATCCTACATTACTTAAAATGCAGATTAAAACGTAAACACAATTATCAATTGGTTTCATCATCAAAATATGAGATTCAACAATCAAAGTATAATTCGCCACCTTATCTTCATTGGCTTGCTCTTCATCTTCTGATGCACTTGATTCGTCCTAAGTCACCTTGAGTGCTTTCTTCTTCTTTTGTGTTAATATTTTCTTCTTCAGATGCTGACACTTAGTTTTAAAGTTCCCCGACTTCTTACATTCATAGCAAATGATTGTGTCCTTTTTATTTTCTTACGATGAGTTCTATGTCATCATCATCACTTAAGCTTTCGCTCGAGTGATTTTCTTTTGTTTTGTGTATAATATCCTTTCTATTCTTTGGAAGATTGTTCTTATATTTATCATGTGTCTTGCAAGTCATTTATAGGTCATTAATGATCCTGTGAGTTCTTCAAGAGGAAAATTATTCAAGTTCTTTACTTCTTGAATAGTAGTTACCTTTGGATCCCAACTTTTTAGAAGGGATCCTAGAATTTTATTAATAAGTTTAAGATTAGTAAAAAATTTACCAAGAGCTTTCAAACCATTGACAATATCTACAAAACGGGTATATATATCACTAATGGTTTCGCTTGGCTTCATTCTAACCAATTCAAAACTATGTATCAAAAGATTGATTTTAAATTCTTTAACTCTATTTGTGCTTTCGTGAGTAACTTCAAGTGTGTGTCAAATATCATGTGTAGTTTCACAAGTCAAAATACAATTAAACTCATTTTTGTCCAAAGCATAAAACAAAGCATTCATAGCTTTAGCATTTAACGAAAATATTTTCTTCTCAAAATTATTTCATTCATTCATTAGTTTAAAGAGTTTTTGAAAACTATATTTTATGACATTCCATAAATTAAAGTTCATAGAAAGTAAGAAAATTTTCATTTGTGTTTTTTATAGAAAGCAAGAGGGTCACTCTATCACTCGTTACTTTACGACATCCCATTGAACATAGGAGGATGAGTGATAAAGTAACCCTCTTGATTGCTAACAAAAGTTATTTTTCTCTTAGGTGTTAAATCAACTAAGAGAACTTAGCTCTGATACCAACTATTAGGACCGTAAAGACACTAAGAGGGGGGGAGGGGTGAATTAGTGCTTTAAAAAAAACTTCAGTTTGAAAATTCATTTGATTAAACTCATATCAAAAATATGTTTAACTTGGAATGTGAGTAAAAGTAGTAAGCAACTAAATCAATAAGCAAAAAGAATGAAAAACACAAAGGATATACAAACCAGATTTATAGTGGTTCGATCTTTTTTATAAAAGACCGTTCAATTTTTCGGAAAAGTACATTTCATACTTTCCAACTCATAGGTGATTCCGCCGCCTAGCCTAGCGATGCCATCGCTTGGCCCAATTTCATATCATTGAATTGGTCTTCTAATAGGCCCAATAGGCCCTTAATCAAATTAGCATAGTTATAACTAAAACTAACTCAATTAAAACCTAAACTACTTCGATTAAGATAAAAATGATTACAAAACATAAATCATATATTGTCCCACATGTTATTAGTTCATCTAATATTTCGTCTGATCTTTTGGCGCATCGTCCTCTCTTTCGGCGTATTGCCCGATCCATCGGTATGTTGACCTCTCACAACATCCGATCTTTTTAGCATAATGTCCGATCCTTTTGGCCCGATGCTCAAACTCATGGCACAAAGTCTATCTTTTGGTACGTTGACTAATCTTGTAGCCCGACGTCCAATCTCTGATATGATCCATTACGACCCAACATTTGATTCTCCTACTTCAATCGATTTGTCTTTCTATGATCGAAGTTAGTCCTACGTCACTTAAATATTTATTAGATCATAACTTCATCAATTGGTTTCATCATCAAAATCCGAGATTCAATAGTACACACAAAACATCACTAAGTGTAAAAGTGTCTGTGTGTGAATTAAGTGTTATGGAATTAGTATGAGTGATCGAGGATGTGGATAGATAAATTTTGTAATGATAATGTCTTCCTCCATTATAATTGATGTAGATAGATAAATTCTACAAATCAGAAATGATATGATAAGAAGCATCAAAGTTAAGATCTAATTTCTTGGATAAGCAATCAAAGTAGTCATGATATTTGCTTGAGATTAGTTGAGTGTAGTAGTAAGCTTGAGTCAAAATCGATAAACTTTTGCTATATGTCCAATTTTGTTACAAAGCTGGCATATGACCTTTGGTTGATTATCATTATTAGGATGCTAACACTATTGATAGTTATAGTTGAAGTTATTTTCCGAGTTTTTTTAGTTAAAGTTGCCACCATAGTTAAAGAATTGATAATGTAATAGAGGATGATGACTTTGTATATTACTAATATGTGTCCAGGAGGCATTTTGTTCGACCTTTATTGAAGTTCTTATTCCTTTGATTGGCTTTACATTTAGATTTTTGATTAAATTAAGCTATGATAGTTAGTCCTGTCTTTCTCCCTTCTCGTTTCAGATATATTTCATAATCAATCAACTTATTATATAGTTCTTCAAATGATATTTGTGAGTTATGTATTCGAATTGCTACTGTTAGTTCCTTATATTCATCTCTTAGGCCATTGTGAGTATGAATAATATTTTTTTCATCACTCAAGGGATGACTTATTAAGACTATATCAACTATAATAATTTTTAGATTTTGTATATAATCAGTAATAGTACTTTTCTTTTTTGTTATTTTTGTCAAAGTAAATAAAATACTTAATAAGCGAGTGCAAGAGCGATTAATGAAGATGTTTTATAACTTAAACCATGCTACTGTGACAATCCTGCATGAAAAGTTTATTGGTACTATGAAGATGAGGCTTAAATGACTTATAGAATAAGATGATTTTATCATATCCATAACTTATAATCAAAATTTATTATTAGGATGGGTTTTCTTGATATTTAGATTTTTCTGATGGACAAATAAGAGAGTCATCGATGTAGCCTAATAGATTATATCTAAAGAGGAGATCAGTGAATTGTGCTCACTAAGATACATAGTTGTCGGCTTTAGAGAGATTGGAGAGGATTAGAGTTGGATAGATATAAATCATATAGATTGAGATAAACTATTATTTCCTAAGGGAACAATAAGTGGAGCATCAGATATAAAGGAGGAAGACATGCTGAGAAGATGCTGTGATCTAATAAGAGAAATCCAGAATCAATTGATGGTTTGATTTAGATATATAGAGGGTAGAAATCTGATTTGTTAGAGGAGATCAGATCTGAGAAGTGAACAAGGGAGGATCTGATATGTTGAAGAAGATCAGATATGAGAAGTGCACAAGAGAGGATTTGATTTGAGATGTATAGAAGAGGGCGATCTTTTTAGTTTTATACTGAGTCCTTTTCTCGATCACAAGTGTTGATGGCATAGTCGAAAGGATGGTGGTAATAGATTATCATCGAGAGGTCAATCGTGGATTCGAGGCATTAGTGAGTTCAATAATTGATGAGAAGGGGACGAGGACGAGGACGAGGACGTTGGTGAAGATGGAGTAGTAGGTAGGAACAAAGGGAAGGCCCATCAAGCATAATTGCATAAGATAAAAGATTGCTGAAGAAGCTGGTTGAGAAAAATGAAGTAGATATGTTGCAAAGCTAGGAGATTTGTTAGGAGGAGTCACATGTCTTCATTTTCGGTACAATGCCAAAATATCCGAAAACAGAAAGAGTTATAAAGTAGCATTAAGGTAGGTGAGGAAGAGGAATAGTAGTCGTTAACAGGGTAAAGAAAGAAAAAGCGAAGAAGAAGAAACCTTGCTTGAGGCAAGAAGGCTATGATACTATGAAGAATTTATTGTGAAAGGGATGATTTTATTCATTAAGATAATACATATTTATATATATTGTGAGAGAATGATTTTTCTTAATCATGTAATTAAATCATATATTTAAATTTATGATTGATCCTCATATTATAGATTGATTGAGAATTAAGTAAAATAAAGAATATAAAATTATCATTCCATATGATTAGCATAGCAGGTAAATAATGTGAAATCCTTTTTTATCTTTTTTTCACCTCCTTAAATTGAACTGTAACTTATTTACGCATTTCAGTTTTTGTAGTGGCTTCCTCTCATCTTAATCACGGAAGCAAATATCCATGGATTAATCAGTTTATTGATGCTGCAGGAAGTGGACATGCAGTTAACTTTCACAGTGATGCTGCTCCAAAAAGAGAGCGAAATGAAGAGGAGCTGATGAGAACCAAAAGAGACGAGCAAATTAATAGTTTCCTTAAGATACTGTGTCAGACTAAAGCTTATTTAGACTTCTGACTTCATCACGGTACGATTTCTACTGATGACCTCAGTATTCTCATAATGCATACCGTCTTGTCTTGGGTTGCTGATGGATGCATTTTCCTTTTCTGTTTCAGGTGGCTCGCTCCCCAAGCCCTTGCTTTCTAAGTCTTTGTACTCTTTCCAATAGTTCTTCGTACTGTCGATCAATTTCTGCACCTCCGGATCATCGAATACTGTGTTCATCGACAACAATGTCTCCACTGCCAGCATCATGTGGATGACGGCCTGCCACCCAAATACCACACCGTGAGACCGTAAGTTGCGGTATGCCTTTACTCTCAACTCTAGGCAACAATAATCACCGTTCAAAATAAAACTGATTCCCATCGAAATCGAAATAAAGTCAGTTTGATAGCATACAAGTTCGATATCAAATTGGAACTTGGTTTAAATCAACTACGTAGAATCAAAATTAAAACCAAAATCGAAACCAAAATCAGCCAACAACGGTGAAATAATTTAAAAATAATTTAAAATTTTAAAAATAAAAAATAAAAAATAAATTTGCTAAAATTATGTTATGTGGTGTATGAAAATACATTCACTTCTCAAAATGGAACTTTGATTAAAATTTTAAAATAAGATTATGACTTCTTTTACTGTGTTAAAAAAAATATTTTAAAAAAATCAAAACTGGAATCAGAACAAAAACTGCTGCCTGTTCCAAAACCGGAGTCATGCCTACTCAGCCTTTCACACCTCAAGTGAAAGAAGCTTGCGAAGGTGTGAGACACACTACTGACCATGAGAAGGGGCGGCCTTGAATCCCTCGGAAGGTCACCGTAGATCAGCTCGCAGACTTCTTTGGCCATGTGATAGTTTTTCTGCAGATTTATTACAGGGATTCAAAGTAGAAGATTAAAAAGAAGAAAACTAATTATGTTTCTAAAAGCAGATGAAATGATGAGAGAATGGGTTACCAGATCGATGTATACTTGTGCTAACGTGATTCCCACTTCGTGTTTCTCGTCTCCTGAAAGCCAGTTCGAGGAAAATATTTCCGATAATTTTTGTCCTTTCTTTGACTGAGTAGATTGATCCTGCGTAAGAAACAGTAGTGGGTATTAATTAGCTCTCAAAGTTTAAATCCACATGTAGAATTTTAATGCAATAAAAAAATAATTTACTTTTAGAATAATTAGTCAAAATAGCAACACCCCCTCCTTTATGTTCATTAAATTGAACCAAATCAATAATAAATAATTATAAAAATAAAATTCAAAGTTCTATTAAATTTATAAAGTTATAAAATATTAAATTATTTTTAAAATAATATTTAAGTATATATAAATTGTTGAAAATAAATTTAAAATTTTATTAAAATAGAAAATTTTCTTATATATTATTTTAAAATATAAATATCTGGAATTTATGTTGATATGTGTTCTAAATTATTTTATAAATCTTCAAATATTTATATGCTAAAATTTGAATTTTATGTCATAAGCTAGTTTTTTCAGTGATTTTTAAACTTATTTGATTTCAAAAATCTGGAGCCGCTTCCTGTGGTTATGGTGAGAACCAAGTATTTTCCACACACGCGCACACACAGAGAGAGAGAGAGAGAGAGAGAGAGAGAGAGATCACTAGTTGATAGATGAGCTTCATCAGCTGGAGTCGCTTGCTGGGTGGAAGAACCTCAGTGAAGGCATGATCGATCAACGACACCCATGGCTTCTTGCAAGAAGTCCCAAACAAGATTTCCCGCACCATATTGGGCGTTCTCTGCTCTCCCGTTCCCACGTCGCCGCACTTGTGGTCCGCAACGCCCCACGGGCTGCATCCGGTGTTCGCCGCCGTCATCGTCACGCTCTTCCCGTCGCCTCCTGCGGTGACCTCAGCCATCGCCGAGCCAGGCCCCCCAGCGACTGGTGCACCGCGCGACATGTAGACTGCGCCCAGGGCGCAGGCTACGGCCGCGACCACGGCCGCGCCAACCGCCACCCCTTTCCTCGGTCTGGCGCGCCCTGCTCTGCCTCTGTCCTCCTCCGGACGCGGCGGCGGTGGTGGAACGTGGGAGAAGGACACGGTGTGAGGGCGGGGTCTCGACCGGGGAAACCTGATGCGGCCAAGGAGGGCATGGTTCCTGGTGGGCCGGTGGAGGAGGAAGTGGCCCGGCCCTTTGTATGGGGCGCTAAGGGCGGATGGAAGGCAAAAGATGGCTTCCATGGATCGCAACTGATCAGCTTTCTCTCTTTCTCGCTCTCTCGCTTACTCCACTCTTTTTATAGGCTCTTTAGCGTGTGCCGATACAAAGAGAGAATATTGATTTCTTGTTGTTAGCCTCTTCTTTCGCTTTCCCTTAATTCTTTAGCAAGGGATCGAACACCTCAAGCTCAAGTAAGGTATGTATCCGTCATCACTTCACCCCGTAACCCTGCATACATGAAGAACTGAAGTGCTTTCTTGTTCGATCCGTTGCCTGCCAAAACTGGTACGCATGGAGGTCATTCACGAGTGCTGCAATTGATCTCACGCGCGCAGTGTCAAATTGCCTGCAATATTAATCAGCGCAGTACTGTACGGAAATTACGAGATATGTTGCCAAGGATGGATATAAGAATTCCAAAACTAAAATATATAACGTAAAGATCGATAATCAATAACATGTAAGATTTAATATTATTTGTCAACTTTCGGAGAAAAAAATTCTTTTTATCAATTGTAATGTCCTTACTCAAGTATAATACCTTTTCACATAAATCTTGAGGAATTATTCTTTCATGCTTTCTATAAATCCTAGAGAGCACTCTCTAAATACACTAAAGAGAAATTTAGAAATACCCAAATTATTCTTTAAATATTATTCTTCTTTTATCAAGGCTCAAAGATACATAACAAATTTATAAAAAATTTAAACCCTAATTTTTATTTTTATTTTTTTATGAGTATTTCTTGTATCAGGATTTCTTAACCTTTTGGAGAGCAACTTCAAAAATCTTAAAATACTTTTAATCTTAATTTTTTATTTATAAATATTTTATCCACTTTTGTATCTCCTAAATAAAAAATGCTTTTAACGATCTACCATTAGCCTTTTGTCATAATGTTGAGAATCTAAAATACCTAAATAAATTAGTTTTTTCTATATTATATCTTCCAAGGTATACACTACTCTATCAAGTGTTTTGATATCCACTTTACCGACACCCATGATCTCCACTACTGAATCATCATCTAGACTCAACTTACTAGTTATCTTATTATTCAGTGAATCAAAAAAAATCTTTCAAAGTGCAAATATAAGCAACGCAAATAGAATCTAAAAATTAACTCTTTTGAAAAGATATATCACTTATCTTGGAAATTATGAGAATATTTCTATCATCATCCTTCTTACCGGTCTCTTCTTCCTTTTTTTTTTAATAATTTTACTTGATATGTTTATTTTCTTTGTATTCATAATATTGAATATCATCCAAAGACCTAACTTTTAATCTCAACTTACCATACTGAGTTCTACTCTTGCTAAAAAAATCTTTCTTGTTGACCTCCACCTTGAGTAGCAAATGTTTCATGATTCATTGTTTTCAATATCGATTTTCCTAGCAGCAAAAGACACTAAATATTCCTCAACTTGTTCTAGAATTATTCTCACATAGTATTATCATCACAAAGGTAGCGATGTAAGAAGCAACATGTCTTTGATAGAAAGAATAGAAGATAAGAAGTTTTATTGAAAAAGTAAATAAGCTTTAGCTTGAATGCATTAGCATGTCCCTCTCCTATTTATAGGGATTAGGAGGGAGGATTTTTCTCAATAAAATAGAGGATTTTTCTCAATAGAATAGATAAAATTTCCTCATATGGTTGGGGAAATCTTATCTTCTATCATGCCCCCATAAGATGGTGCTCCTGACAAGGATACCAATCTTGGATCGATGCAAAATATGATTTACAAGCGAGAGGCTTCATGAGTAGGACAAGAGCATATTGCTGCTGCTATTGTTGTTGCTATAGTTTTGACGATGATGGTTGCGGTTGGATGGCAGTGGCTACGATTGCGATCGCGACGGTTGCGCTTGCGACGGCGACGGTTGCGACTGCGACGGCGACGGTTGCGGCTGCGACGGCGGCGGTTGCGGCTGTGACGACAGCGGTTGGGGCTGTGACGACAGCGGTTGGGGCTGTGACAACAGCGGTTGGGGCTGTGACGACGACAGTTGTGGCTGTGACGACGACGGTTGTGGCTGTGACGACGACAGTTGTGGCTGTGACGACGACAGTTGTGGCTGCGATGGCGACAGTTGTGGCTGCGACGACTGCAATGATGGCAGAGGAGAAATCTACAGTAATGTTACAGTGATGCTACTACAACAAAGGAGGAAGCTGCAACATAGGAGGAAGGTGCAGCAGAGGAGGAAGGTGCAGTAGAGGAGGAAGCTGCAGCAAAAGAGGTAGGAGATAGCTACAGCGAGGGAGAAAGGTGGGGCAATGTTGGTGAGCACAGCACTAGAGACGCCGCAGATGAAGGGAACAGACGTTGGCGCAGAGTGGTAGTGGAGAAGACAATTGTCGTTCGCCGAAGAGGAAAGATTTGTCGCACCAATGGGCTAATGATGGAAAAGCAATGGTAGAAAGCTTGCGATAGTTGTGGCTGCGATGGCGACAGTTGTGGCTACGACGACTGTAATGATGGCAGAGGAGAAATCTACAGTAATGTTGCAGTGATGCTACTACAACAAAGGAGGAAGCTGCAACATAGGAGGAAGGTGAAGCAGAGGAGGAAGCTGCAGCAAAAGAGGTAGGAGGTAGCTACAGCGAGGGAAAAAGGTGGGGCAATGTTGGTGAGCACAGCACTAGAGACGCCGCAGATGAAGGGAACAGACGTTGGCGTAAAGTGGCAGTGGAGAAGACAATTGTCGTTCGCCGAAGAGGAAAGATTTGTCGCACCAATGGGCTGATGATGGAAAAGCAATGGTAGAAAGCTTTTTCTTTTCCCGTTAGAGATGGAGAAGCAACAGTAATAAGTCGGCAACGAGAAGAGAGAACTAGACAAGCAGCTCTGATACCATGATAGAAAGAATAGAAAATAAGAAGCTTTATTGAAAAAATAAAGAAGCTTTATTGAAGAAGCTTTAGCTTGAATGCATTAGCATGTCCCTCTCCTATTTATAGGGATTAGGAGGGAGAATTTTTCTCTAGAGGATTTTTCTCAACAGAATAGATAAGATTTTCTAATATAGTTAGAGAAATTTTATCTTCTATCAGTCTTATCTTTTTTTATCACTTTTCACATCAACTTTCATCAATTAATCTAATATTCTTTTGAATATGTTCATATGTTCTATTAAGTCTTCGCCTTTCTTTATCTTTATCCTATATAACTTTTACTTTAGATATAACTTGTTAGTTAAGTTTTTAATCAAATAAAACTTTTTTAAATCATCCTAAATAATCATGATAGAGTTATCATCAATAATTTTATTGATAATATCATTAAAGATACACAGACGAATAGTACTTATATAGTTTATTTTCAATCTTCATTGCTCATATTTTCTGATTTATCTGCTCATCGCTTTAAAGTTCTTATTAAGTAAAAAGATCCTTTACCCACATTTATTATGGGATGAAACCATTTTCTCTATCAAATTTCTCTAAAGTCGATAGAAATAATCAGTGACATTCTTATTGAATATCTAATCAAAAGATTTTTTAGGCTATGATATTGTTTGTTGAGAAGGAGAGAAGAATTCCAAAACCAAAAGATAAATCATAAAGATCAACAATCAAGAATATACCAGAAATTTGTCATAAAATTTAACATGATTTGACAATTCCTATTTGTATCCATAGAGAAAATTAAATTCTTCATCATGTGAGATTATTTAAAAGGCTCTTGAATTATCCTCACTCAGTTATAATTTTCTTATACACCATCTCACATAAACTTCTAAGAATTTATATATTTTCTCTCATTCTTAATAGAAATCCTGGAGAGCACCCTCTTTAAATATTATAGAGAGAAACTCAAGAGTATACAAAGTATTATTGATCATAGCTTACTTTCCTCAATCAAAATTTAAAAATGCATAAGATGTTTATAGAACAATCAAATCCTAATTTTTAAATTTTTTTTTTATTTTCATAATGACTCTTTCTTAGATCCCTTATCCATTAGGACATTGATTTCAAAAATCTTAAAATACCCATTAATTCTTTAAGTTAGAGCATAAAACCATCGATGCCGTTGATGTTATAAGATGCAAAGGAGTGGTAGTGAGCAAGAGATGTAAGACAATGGTTTCCTGATCCTTTGATCCACGTTTATGTTGTTGGTCAAAGTAGAAGCAATGGAGGATTGTATTATAAGGTGACAGATTGCGTTTCTCTTATTTTTTTTGGGTTTTGGCGTGGGAGTTAAACTCTCTTTTAAGAAGAATTATTTTCTCCATATCCTTTTTAAAGTATTAGATATGCTGAATCATTTATTATATCGTTCATCTATCTTCATCTAACATGTGTATATTTTTAATATTTTTATATTCATATATGGACTCATTATTTATTCTTTATTCGATTCAAACTTAGTCCATATCTTTTCAGATTCCTACGCAACTCGTTCGTATCTATCCATCGTAATGCAGCTTCATTTGATCAAACAGTGACTTAACCAGCTTAGTCCTTTTTTTTTTATAAATTTTTTATGCTTTAATTTTTTTTTTTTTATCCGATATCATGTTAGAAAACGATGAAGAGTTTAAATCAAATTAGTCAAGCTTAAGTTCAACCAAAAAACACTTAAGCTTGGTAACATGACTCTTTCAATCTTTGGTGATGTTAGACTGTCTTTATATTTTATATCTATTTTTCTCACACAAATGAATATTTCTACGGCATGCAAGCAATCATGTGACTGCTTTCGATCGATCGAAGAAGTTATAAATAGCACCTCCTATAACCCATCGATAGGGTCTAGAATGGTTAACGACCACTCTACACTCAACGACGGGTTTCTTTCTACTTTTGACTTTTCGATAACTTTCGATTTTTTATTATTTTCTTTTCGATAGTGTTAAATCTTTGTCGTTTCTCCATGATCGCTCTTCTAGGTAGTTGGAAGACCGATTGTATTTTGGATATCTTCCTCGATCAACATAATAGATATCGAGGAATACACCCTACAGACAACATTCACACAAAATTCTTTTCAATTTTAACATTTAGTACCTGCTTTTAATGATTGAAT